CTCAACTATACAAGCCTAGGAACCGTTCTACACTTTTACTCTCACTGTTTATATTTTTATTTGAAGGTCTCTTGATTAGATGATTTGTGAGCAAATAAAATATACTGTAGCAAGTATTCTCTATATTCAGCGCAAGTTTATTACTTGACAACCATAAGTAGAATTTTTGTAAACATTCTTTACTATTCAAATGTCATTTAGGTGTGGGGGTTGGGGGCTAGAGAAGACAAAGGTAGTGTAAGCAAATAATATATATTTAAGAAGGTTAGAAATATTTGGTAAGTCATTGATGTATATGAGAAATAGTAGTAGTCCTAGAATGTTGCCTTGAGGCACTCACTGTGGTTAACAGTATGTATTGGTGTCTGTTAAGATATGATCAATGTAAGGATGTTCTGCTAAGCAGACACTGCATCCAATGGTAATAATAAATAAATGCCCGAAACTGCCCGCTTGGGGCACTGCCTGTTTCAGGCACTGCCCGAAACGCTGCGCATACTAGTGGCTTTACAAGATTGTAATTACTATATTATGTATCCTCACAATCCCAATGTACCTTTTTGTATATATATAAATAAATAAATAAATAAAAATAAATGGTTCCTTAAATTGAAAAACAGGCAATACAGAAAGCTGGTAATCATCATAGACTACATGTTATATAAAACAACAAGTGGCAGCACATGACAATGCTGGTGAAAGCATTATAACCAGAAAGGTTTCATGCACCAAGTCACAAGAACACAATTCCAACTATATTCTGCGCTATTTGTAGTAGAACTGAAGCTTGAAGGCATCCATTGCACTTTGTTTCCACCCAAGATGCAATTGTAAACATCTACAATACTATTCAGTTCAGTGAACATAGCCAATAAAGACTGACACTAAAGAGTGCATCCGAGCTTAGTGCACGTCTGCATTCAGTCCCCTAATGCCCAAGTGGTTGGACACCATTCCTTTCCCCTGTCCCATCCCAAATAATTATCCCTTAACATGGCAATATAATCTTAATGGCTTAGCACTTTCTCCTGATAGTTCCTTTCCTTTCTATTTAGCAAGGATGAATACACTATGTAGTTTTATATTTTTTCTCTTCTTGCAGGAAATGTTATGAATACTGTATCATAATATTATACAGTACAGTACTGGTACAGTATTTTCAATGATTTTAAATTAATTTTATTTAAATTTTACTTAATTTAGGCATTACTGGTACTGTATTAAAGAATAATAGACCTGCTCAGGTTAGGCGAGGATGCCAAGTAAGTTATGACTCAAAGCTATATAAAATGCATATCTTAAGTGTACTAATAAAGAAATTCAACTGAAATAATTTTTCCCTTAAAAGCATAATACACAAACTGTATAATAATGTGACCCGTTTCGTATCTGGTTTCATAGGCCAAAGTGTAGCCTGCCAGTCTCTTTCATGCCACGTTAAATCTGAAAAGGCATTTGAGCTAATAAAAAGCACCTTTGTCTACAGTCTGTATCGTAATGAATATTATCCAGCGTTACCGTTGTATCAGTATGATCTGGTGGTAATGTTCCACACTGCACCAGCAAAAACTGTTGACCTACCATGACCATCAGATCTTAACCATGGTCAATAAGAGCTTGCATTGATTTAGTGAACAACTGGGTGGGAAATCTGTAATATATATACTAAGTTGTGTTTATATTAAAAATTTATATTTATATGTGATTTTGGTATCAAAATACAGTTTGTCCTTGCTTGAATGAACTACATAAGGCGAGGTCAATTTGTTCCATCATGGAATTCGTTCTACTCATCAATCCTAGGCTGACCCTCCCCTAGATGTGAAAAGAAGGCCTACATCCCTATAAATAACAGAATGAAAGAAAATCTATGTATGTATTTATCATTTTGAGCATGGCACATGATAGAACAATCATTGGTGAACAATTCTATATCAAAATCATAACTATGTGTCTATTATTGGTGGCCGCAAATATGATGTAATGGCCAGGATTTCCATAAGCCAACTTTATCGATCTTGATATAAATATTAAGAAAAAAAAATCTATTATGAATTCTTCATTTTCACTATAGTGATTGCTCTATCAAATGCCAAACAATTTGGTATAAAAATGCTACATATATGAGCATTATTGAATCCAATCAAACAAAAATCATCAAAATTTCTCAACAAACTGACAAAAGGAGGGGGCGGTTAGTGGGCCACCAGTGGTCTGATGAAGGGGGTGGCTGGCCTCTGGTGGATGGGGAAGGTAGTGTTGTAGTGGGAGGAGGGTGGTGGCCAAACTTGCAGGCCTCGAGCCAAATTAGGCCTTTGGCCAGACCAGGCCAGACCAGGCGTCAGGCCAGACCAGGCCAGACCAGGCGTCAGGCCAGACCAGGCGTCAGGCCAGACCAGGCATCAGGCCAGACCAGGCCAAGCATACACTGCTAGTTTGAGTGTGTATGCCCGCCTACCCATCCCTAGCCTCGCTGCAGGCTTTCAGTATCATGGAATAGATTGTTTCATATCAACAATCACATACTCAGATACATCCAGCAAATAATAATAATAAATATAAAAGTTTATTAATATGAATAAGGAATACACAAAGTAATGTGCATGTAAAGTACAATATTAATGGTATGTACAAATGTTGACTTGGGTAGAGGCTAGCTGGCTATCCCCCCAATACAATTCCCTCACCACTGACTCCACCAATTATTATGAATTCTTCATTTTGACTATGGAATATGAGTGAGCAACGAGTTACAAACAAGCGAAATGGTAAAATTTTCCCGGCTAATTTGGAGACACAGTAAGCGAAGCATTGAGGTAGCAACAGCTCCAGCCATGAATTGTCATTCAGCTTGGGCCAGACCAACCATGTGCTGGACGCATCTCTTTACTCACCACTGACACAACCTGCATTCCCTGGCGCTCACCTCTAATGCAACCTGCCTCTCCTGACAACTTCCACCATTGACACCACCTGCCTTCCCAGACACCACTGTCACCACCTGCCCCCATGACAACAACTTCCATCACTGACACCACATGCCTCCTGATAACTTCCACCACTGACATCACCTGCCTTCCCTGACAACAACTTACACCACTTGCCCCTTGACCCTAAATGCCAACTACTGACACCACCTGCCTCCCTCCCCTGAAAACGTTTTATCATCCTTCATCCTCTTCTTCCTGGAAACAATGGGTAAGCAAAATAAAACACTATACAACTGTTTACACTTTGGTGAATCATAGTTGATGGCAGCCACCTCCGACACTCGGTCTCAGTGAAGGCTTGGATGAACACTCCTCACTTAATCAAACTGTTTCACTGAACATTTAATACCAAATGCAATTTGTTCGGACCATCCTGGATTTCATTATAGTGGGGTTCGTTAAGAGTAAGGATGCACTGATGCACAAATGCTTTCTGTGTTTACACTAATAAAGGGAGCCCTTCCAGTAACTTTTGATTTCTGATAAGAAAACAAAGTTCATCGGAAGGGCTCCAGTCTCGGCTAATCTGTCAGAGGGAGAGAATACGTGATTAGGTATATGGTTTCCAATTGGAGGGGACAGGAAGCCTGTTAGGCTTAAACTTAATATTTTGCTTTAATGTTTTGGAGTGTGATGATGCCACATGGTTAAAAATATTTATTTTGAACCATGTGGTTAAATAACCATTTATTAGTAACCATATTTTAAAGTTAATAACTTTATATGTACAGTATAATAAACTATGTTGTTATTAGCTAATACTGTAATAGCTAGAGAAATGTTAGATTTTAATAATTAATGGGATTTATAAGCAGAACTGTATTTGTATAAATAATGGATATTTACATTATCATTACAGTACCTTGTTTTCTAATTTCACGGGGGGACAGGAAGGCATCATTATGGAGAAGAAAAAAGTTAGGGATCCAGTAAAAGGTTAAGATATTAAAGAATATACTTTAACTAAAAATATCAGTTGTCCATTCATTATATCATTCACTACATGTATATATATCATTACTTTGAGGTTACCTTGAGGTGCTTCCGGGGCTTAACGTCCCCGCGGCCCGGTCGTCGACCAGGCCGCTCTTTGTGCTCTTTGTGATATTGTAATATATAGTACATTATATACAAATACAGTACTGCAGATTTATTCACTCTTTACAATTGCTTTCACCCCAGCCTAGTCCCGTAACATTTCAAGTGTGGGAGTGCACTCTGTACCCACTTCTTCATACACACCATGTTCGCCCACCTTACCTGCCTTCCTCTTCTCTTAGCCTTTGGTTAAGTGTGCATTTAAGTGCATTAATCTAAAATCATCATTAGCTGAAAATGCCCGAATCATCTCTGCATACGCTCCTCAGTCTTGTGGCTTATTGGCTTTTGCACTTCACATCTCTCCACTATATTTTTATTCCTTACTCTTACTCTCCAAACATCACACATGCTTCTTAGTGTTTATTTTTGACTGTCGTTTATTTTTCACTTTTATGTCACACATCATCTAGCAACTATGCATAAAAGTTAACGCTCCCTCAATCAGATGCAGCACTCGAGATGTTCTAGATGTTTTGAAAATGTGACCTTATAGGAAGCGTATCATTTGAAACACAAAACTTGGGTCAGTTCCAAAATTAAACTTTCCACCTTGAAAAAATAGTTGTGAAAGTAAATAATAAATAGAATGAGATTCAGTGTACTAAAATGAGCAATAAACATGCTCATTATATATAAAGATTATATATATATATAAATAATATAAAGTTTTAATACATTTATCAACAGATGCAGCACTCTGGCTGCATCTGTTCCTATTTTGTTTTCCTAATCAAGGCTTCCATAGTACATACAAGCTACTTTCCATCACTGACTAACCCTGTTATTAAATTTGATCACACAACTTGCCTACACAATAGATGGCTGACCCACTACTGTAATCACTCGTGTGTCAGGCTTAAAATAATGGATCTATGATACGAGACAAATCAGTGAGATTGATACACACAATTTTTACCTAGAATTTTAATATAAGACTATTTATAAATAGTGATGACACATACTTCTGTACAATACAAAAGTTGGAAGAGTAAAATTTCACTAGTTTAGGAAATATAGGACTGCAGAGACATTCTATAATGTGACCTTTTAGGAAGCGCATCATTTGAAACATAAAACTTGGTTCAGTCCCGAAATTAAACTTTCCACCTAGAAATTTTTTTGTGAAAGTAAATAATAAATAGAATGAGATTCAGTGAACTAAAATGAGCAATAAACATTGTGATTATATATATAAAAATAATAATAAATTATAATACATAAGTGATATAATTATAAGTGACTAAAAGATCAATGAACAAAAAATTTTGACATCACAAGGCTATATGTTGAAAGATGTGCTGGCATTTGTTCGGTGAGTACACAGCCAAGCTTATCACGGCATGTTGTGTGGGGAGGTGGCCACCTCCTCCAGTTATTAAATAGTTATTGAATAAGTTGAAATGATTCTTAACTTCTGCAAACTTCAAAATAACCTGAATTCAGTTTCCGTTGTAACAAACACCTTCGGCAGTATGAGTCTGCTTGACCTCTTGAACAAGATATTACAAATAATTTTCTAACCATTTATAAACTCTTTTTGTAAATTTGTTACAAAAATCAATCGTTTATATTTTATTTCAAATAAAACAAAATAATTACATAAAAGACAACAATTCACAGTATTGATGTTTGATTAAATTACAAAACTGATTTAATATATATATTTTTCTTTGCAGCTATGAAAATACAAAAGTTAACAGAATGGGCAATTTAATATAGGTCAATGTTCACCTTTTTATTAATATAAAGTTCACTTCAGAATAACAGATCTTCAATATATACTTTTAAATAAGGTTTTGCAAGTATATTTCTTGGATCACAAAGGGAAGGGTTGTTTGATTGGCTTTTCATTTGAACTTTCGCACAATAAAACTACTACTGAGTAAGTATAATAGACGTCCAGAGTCAAGTACAATATTTATTACAGCTTCTCATACTTCTATAGTGTGTGTGTGTGTATGTGTTTATATATATATATATATATATATATATGTGTGTGCGTATATATATATATATATATATAATACACATGTATATATATATACATGTATATAAAATGATATGGTAATAGTTGATATAATTCTGTTAAGAGACAAATGAAAGACAGGCTATACAAGTTGGCTGCATTACTTTCCCAGCCACTTTTCCTATTGCAGGAACATCTAGAAAACCCTCGATACTAAAGAACAGGAACTGCACTGCACCACTCATTACGGGGGGAACTTCTGAACAAGTATTTAAGTACTGACCCTCTCACACCTCTAACTCACAGTACTAGCTATACAGAGGAATCTCGTGCAACTTTAGGTAGGTCCTGCATTATACCATCAACTATTAAGTAATTATATTTTGATTGTGTTAATTTTTTCTTAACTTGCTCTATCTGCATTCAGAGGCTTTACATAATATAAACAGTTTGTCAAATACCTGATATGACAGCACAGAAGAGGATAAATTAGATCATCAATTTGCAGTAGGAATATATTGATTTTGTGTTTTCAAATTGCAGGGGTAATATTTTTACTTTAACACCCAGAATACTAAAATATGAACAAAGTTTAGAGTATATGATTAAAGGGTTTATAACGGCAGTCTATAAATGGGTAGTTCAAGGGAATCTGTAGTTCGCTTTAGTTTGTGTCTAAATTCTCATGGTGTGGGCAGTTCTGGAGCAGCTACACTAATATCATATTTTACTCCATCTTCTGTTTCACCAGTTAATGAATGAGAAGAACCCATACGTTTTTGAGAACGTACAGTGAAGGGTACTTCACGCCTGACTGAATCCTTTTCAAATACACTGCGTGCAGTAACGAATTTCGCTTCGTAATCCACTTGGGGATCTTTCCTATGTTTCTGTTCTGCAGCATGGCTGTGACGTGCTTGAGAACGGGGGCTGGCAGGCAGGACGGTAGCAAGATGGGCACGGTAGGAGTGAGATTCAGTTTGGGTAGAAAGAACTGTGGCTACAGCACCTGTTGTGGTCGATTCGGAGGGTGGGGAATCGAGTGCAGAACTATGTGGGTCATCACGTGATGTTTGTGTGCCTTCCCCTACAGGAATATTATATGCACCACGAGAATGATAACCTGATGAATTATCTGTAGATGGAGTTGACTGTCGTGTATCTAAATTATTTTCATCTAATACTGTCGTATGGGTGCTACGATGATCAGTATAGCAGCCTGAATCACGCCCATGGTCACCACGACGAAGTGCTGCTTCAGTGGTGTCTAAACTTTCTGGAGGATCAGGTTCAGGCTCAGAATCAGCATCATGAAGTAATGCCACAGCAGTTAACAGTTTGGCACAAGTCTCTGGATCCGTAATACCAAGACAGTCCAGGTCAGCCTTTTCCAAATCTCTAAACTGATCCAAATCTTCATAGCCATTGAGAACAAACACCTGTAATATATTTTAAATTAATATTTTAAAAATAAACTATGATGATGTGAACAGTAAAATGCAACAAAAATTATACTATAATGTACATAAAAGCAATACTGAAAGACATTTGTGTTAAAAAAGTACTAAGAAATTCATTAAAGTTACGATAAAACTAAATTACAGTTGGCATTATTTTTCCACAAGGGTCAAGACCAAAGACTGTGGATTTATGATTACCGTGTATTGACAGTTTGTTTTCACACTCTAACATTAATGTACTTTATTACATTACAGGATATACTGGTATATCATATGTATATTTGCTTGCCCTTCTTCATGACCAAAGAGGGGAGAGCATGATACTGTCTACTCCACTGAAAACTTAAAGGCAGGATGCACATTAGTATCTTAGGTGTGGAAGGATCCTACCTGGTCTTTACTCCCTGCCACAAGTGAAATATAATTCCAATAAATCTATAGCTGATGACAAGGCAGTGGTAATTTATCTGGTATTCCTTAAATGCACAGTGCATGAAGATCTCAGCCATTGCTGAAGATGCCGAGCTTCAAAGGTTGTGCCTCGGGTTTGTTGGTACAGTAACTTATCCCACTGAATGGTAGAAAGGTGCCGTCCATAATGTGGATTACGTTCTTCCACTAGTGCTGATGATGTCGACACCAAGACACCTGCTTATTTCCTTGAGGAAAGAAGCAGGTGAAATTTCCTTCCTTGTTGCAACACAGAGTTTGTCTGTAATTCTTGTAATTCAATACTGCCTCCTCTTGTGGTAACAATAGGAATAACACCGTAATATATTAAGAGGAAAAACTGCTCTCTCTCTGGCATCCATGTAATGTCTACTTGCAGTCTCGTGAGAAAGTGGATGGGATCTGATAGACATTCTGGCAAGGAATGACATTAATACCGTTGTTAGAATTCTAATGTGTGTGTGTTTGGTTGATCTTCAGCACCCATTGAGACTAGTCTTCACTTCCAAGATCTTTACTACATCATTCATGCTTGCTTAAGTACTTTTGGAAGAAACACATTTGTGAAATTCTGGCCAAATGAACTAAGAAGTTATTCCTGGCTGGTAATGTGAAGGTTCCATATCTAATTTCTTTTGCTATCATAATATTGAATAAGTTAGTGTTTATCCTTGTTGATTGGTTCATCCAGGGCTGCAGATAGATCTGGGAACAGATTGTATTAATAGGTTTTTCAACTGTCTGAAGCCAGTTGAGAAAAGCTAGTTTTCTTGAAAAGCTAGTTTGTAGTCTACCCCTCTCCACATGACAAAACTTGCTCCAGTATCTGTTTTCCTGTAGGGCTTCCCTCTGTATCTCCTTAAAGTTATTTTCTTGTTGGGCCTTTGGGGAAAGTTGTTGGACCAGGCCTCTACCCCCAGGAAGCAGCCCGGGGCTGTCCGGGGGGGGAGTCCAGAGTTTTTTTTTTTTTAATTCTTGGGTTCTATGTAACTACCTAAGTGTAGTTACAGGATGAGAGCTATGCTCGTGGTGTCCCGTTTTCCCAGTACTTTTTGTCATATAACGCTTTGAAACTACTGACGGTTTTGGCCTCCTCCACCTTCTCACTTTGCTTGTTCCAACCTTCTACCACTCTGTTTGCAAAAGAAAACTTTCTAATGTTTTTTTGGCACCTTTGTTTCCTTAGCTTGAATCTGTGTCCTCTCGTGATGTTGCTGGTTTCAGGAATTCCTGTCAATTTGGTAGATTCCTGTTAGTATTTTGTAAGTGGTGATCATATCACTTCTATTTCTTCTATCTTCTAGATTTGGTAGGTTCAGCGTCTCTAGTCTCTCCTTGTAACTCTTGTTTTTCAGTTCCGGAAGCCGTTTTGTAGCATGCCTTTACACCTTTTCCAGCTTATTGATGTTCTTCTTGAGATATGGGCACCATACAACTGCCACATATTCCAATTTTGGTCTGTCAAAAGTCATGAACAGTTTCTTTAGTATTTCACCATCCTTGTAATTAAAAGCAAATCTGAAGTTGAAAAGCGCAGCATATGCTCATCGCACAATTACAACATATGCTCCTCGCACAATTTCCTTCGTGTTCCTCTGGTGACATTCAACTATCTAGAACCACCCTTAGATCTCTCTCTTTGTTAAGAGTTCTTTAGAGTGCATGTGTACATGTGTATATGTATATACATAATGTATTAACCTACCTGTATAAGATGGCCAAGATGCAATCTTGTGAGAATTTCCTCTAAAGTACGTGCTCGACCACGACGTGGAGTCGTTCCTCGCCAAGCACGACTACGACGAGCTGGACGTTCTACCTCTTCCTCCACAAGGATAAATTTAAAGTGGCCAACACGTCCATCTACACAGCCCTTCCATAATCCTGATGGATTTTTGGCAATGATGTCAATTATATCCCCTTTCTGGAAAATAAAAATATATGATAAATGGAGAACTAAATTTTTTAAATCTAGTAAATATTGTAATCTTACCAAAGACTTTGAGGGTAGACGATAAGCTTGAGCAGAATACTGTATAGCCAAATTCCAGCCTGACTAGTGCAACCTTCTAATCCTCAATTATCAATCCTCAATCCTAATTCTAATCTCTACAGTGGGATTTATTTAAAGTAATTTGCACTGGGTCATTACAAGAAGAGGAGGACAATACAGAACACTCGATTCAGATCTAGATGACCATCTGAAGGCTCATTCAACTATAGTTAACGACATTAAAAATACCTGCTCTCCAAGGAATATTTTGCTTAAAATATCAAGTATGTACTACTGTGTTACACTGATAGCTGGCTACCTGGCCACTACCCCATATACACCACCAAGATGTCACTACTAGCACTGTCAACAGAGGTACTTGATCCATGTGAGTGTGTGTGTGTGTAAACATGCTCATGTAAATATCCACTGAAAATCAGAAGCTCACTTAGCAAGAAGCCAAAGCTTAAGGGTGAATTCTTAACACTGGAATTACACACTGGTCTTTTTGCTAATTGAGGAATTTGGTATAAGAGCCTATACAGAAAGTGAGATGGAGTGCCCAATCGTCTCTTACAGCAATGCTGGCAGCGACATCCAGTCCGTCTAATTACCCAAACCTACCAAAATCTACTCAAAGCTACCCAAAGCTTCCTAGTATTACGTAAGTAATGAAGAAATATGATATTTTACTCACTATAACGTTGGTGCTGAAGGTAGAACATGAAAAACAGATTTTTACTTTGAAATAATGTAAGTTTATGATGAAATTAGACGAAACTAAGTGGCATGAGAGGCCATAGGAAGTCGATGATCCAAGAGACATTGCTGTGCAGCGATTTATCCAAGATATATTGTTGCCTACAGGTTATATTAAGTTAGGCTTGGATAGGTTAGGTTTGGTTTGGTTAGGTTAGGTTTGGTTTGGTTAGGTTAGGTTTGGTTAAGTTAGGTTATGTTTGGGTAGGTTAGTTAAGTTAGGTAGATTAGATAGGTACAGAAGGCTGATATGCCAGCAATCACACTCTCCAAGCAACAATGTGTCTTGGATAAGTCACTCTAAAACATTGTCGCTTGGACCGTCGACTTGCTTTGGCGTCACCAGCAGCTTATTTTCGTCTAATTTCGTTATGAAATGATACTTTTTCAGAGTAAAAATATGTTTTTCCATGTTCTATATTCAGCACCAACATTTTAATGAATAAATATATCATATTTATTCATTACTAATGTGTTGTTAGAAAGCTTTGGGTAGCTTGTTAGGAAGCTTTGAGTAGCTTTGGGTATAAGTTATTTTGAGTGCACTTTACCATACAATTGTCATTTAGTGATCTGTCTCTTTCCTCATTTAAGGCCCCTCAGGGGCAGTTTGATAAGAATCCTGCAGTCTGAATATATTACACCACCAGAAATGGTTATCTTGAGGTTATCTTGAGATGATTTCGGGGCTTTTTAGTGTCCCCGCGGCCCGGTCCTCGACCAGGCCTCCACCCCCAGGAAGCAGCCCGTGACAGCTGACTAACACCCAGGTACCTATTTTACTGCTAGGTAACAGGGGCATAGGATGGAAGAAACTCTGCCCATTGTTTCTTGCCGGCGCCCGGGATCGAACCCAGGACCACAGGATCACAAGTCCAGTGTGCTGTCCGCTCGGCCGACCGGCTCCAGTCGGTGGGTTCTGGATCAGATTGTCTCTACAGGGGTGCTATTGCAGCTAATGCATTTAGGGTACATCTCAAAAGCAAGGAGGGTAGAGGTTACGTCAACAGAGATCCAAGTCATTTGCAGTAGCATAATATCAAGATTCACTCAGCATCTGGCAAAGGTTACTCTCATTCTAACCATGACCTATGGTGGTCATATGACTAAAGTCAATATCAGCAACCTGAATTTCCTGTAAATTTAACCGCTAAGAAAAGCATTTTGTGTAAGTAGGTTTGGAGGAGTAAGAGGGAAAGTATGGAAGTGGAACAATGGCAGACAAGTCCAGGTTATGGGACAGTAGACTGGGTTATTATGAATATTTTCTAATGGTTAAGACATTCAAAGAGTGGTGACAGCCTTATAAAGAAGATATACAAGGTTAAAGAACAAGGATTTGATGATATATAGACCATGAAAAAGGTACACGAAGGATTGCATTTGGAATGGTCTTATAATAACATTCAACATTTTTCAATGTGCAGAAGTGAGCCTAAGAGCTACAGCAATCCTCTTTACCCACAATTTCATATAGGTGTGTATATATAAGTAAGAACTAACTAGCTCTACTCTTATATAATATAATCTGCTATCTGATGCCACTTTGCATGGCGGTTGGTTCCGGAGAACACAGCATTATATACAATATAAGCAGAAAGTTACTCTGTTTCACAACCAATTTCCTGTCCTTTTAACTACCTTTTATTTTAAGCTTTGAACTAAATTTATTTTTTAACAGTATTGTATCCATGACTAACTAAAAGTTAAGATAAATAATATCTCTTGTCCCTACTGGCTTAACCCTAGAAATGTGCATAACATGTTTTACCGGTGGTGTGCGTGACCGCATGATGTTTTACCGGTGTTGTGCATCACAATGCATGATGTTTTACCGGTGGTGTGCATCACAATGCATGATGTTTTACCGGTGGTGTGCATCACAATGCATGATGTTTTACCGGTGGTGTGCATCACAATGCATGATGTTTTACCGGTGGTGTGCATCACAATACATGATGTTTTACCGGTGGTGTGCATCACAATGCATGATGTTTTACCGGTGTTGTGCATCACTATACATGATGTTTTACCGGTAGTGTGCATCACTATACATGATGTTTTACCGGTAGTGTGCATCACTATACATGATGTTTCAGGTGCAGTACCTTGCAATATTTGAACCTCTTGCAGGTACATGGTGTCCCTAATCAGATTTTGAGGCCAACAAACATCCGGTATCTTGAAAAGTGACACGATTTTTGGGATATTGTTCCAATACCGAGGGCATGGTTTTTTTTAACAATATAGGAAGACAAAAAAATTAGTTTTTGAATACTCCATTTAGTGACCTCTTCGAAAATTCTGTACACCATACAATTTTATATGTGGGAAATAATTTACATACTTTACTCAAACTAATTACAAACTAAACTAAATAAATGAAGCCATAAGAGTTCCAGTGTGGAAAGTGCTCTTACAGGGGCAAAATAAAAATGTCATACAGGCTACTTGCCCTAACACATAATCTACATACTGTACTACAACTCTTTCACAATACAAATAATTGCCCTGTAAAACTACTTTTGTAAATACAAACTAATTCTACAAAACTTGAGCCATCTTTATTGGTAACACTTGCTTTCTGTTTTTTGCTGCTCGTATAGACAAGAAAAATTATTTTGTAAATACAAAAAGGTACATATGCAAATAAATTCAAACTTTGTCGTAATACACCAACCTTAAACTTGAGTGCATCTCTATCATAGGGTGAAGGCTGACAGTCAACAAGGGCCCGAGCTCTGCCAATGAATGGACCGGTGTAAGGCTCTGCTTCTTCCCCAGACAATGATGATCGGTTGCTTCCTGGCGCTGGTGTAGCTGCAAGAGTGCGCACATTGAAAAGAAAGCATCTTGACTACTATTACTAACTGAAGGCAGTAAGAGAGAGAGAATAATTATTATTCAACTGATATACCCTCTTTACAGTACCTTGTGAGGTAAGAGGTATTGTAAAGAGAGTACACCGTACACATCACATACCCAAATACCAGCTTGGGCACCTGCAACAACTCAATTATGTCTGAACGATCCCATGTGCAGGCCAGGACAAAGTACACTGGACATCAAGTTTAACCTAATACAACAACTGCAGCACTGCTGAAGATATGTGCATAATAAATTTTAGTGACTGCAGCTACACATACTGTATTGCATTGGCAATACTTCTACAGACACTAGACACCAGAATCAAAGCGTATAAATGTTTGTGGAATCTTTAATATGAACAACACTTATTTAATAGACAAGAACCTATAATCATTCTCGACTGTCAATTGGGAATCCCAGGTTCGAATCCCGGGTGGAATAGAAATGGTTGAGCATGCTTCCTATCACCTAGTGCCTCTCTTCACCTAGCAGCAAATAGGTGCCCAAGTTCAACTCATTGTAGGGTTGCATCCTGGGGAGAGTTAGTAGTGTGATCTTGGAGGGACCTCAATATAAGCCTAACATACATATACATACAGTGGAACCTTGGTTGACAAATGCCCCTCTTTACAAATTTTTCGGCTTACGAGTTCAATTTCTTTGTAAAATTTGACTTGGCATACAAGCTTTGTCTCACTTGGCGAGTTTGTTAATACACGTATGGGTCAACCAAGTGCGTGGTTCCTGGTGGCACGGGCGAGGCACGCTTCAGTTTACCAGTGTCTCTCACCTAGTGACAATTGCACTTTAATTCTTTGTGAAGAATTTTATTGTTTTGTGCTTTTTTGGTTTCTGAACATAAAAGTAATTATTATATATCACGCTGTGTGTCTCAAGAAAGTCAGTGGTAAAGTTCAACCTAAGAAAATAGTTGTGAGGATGATGATAGAGCAAAAAAACAAGAGAACATTCATAGTGAACGAATGTGATGTCTCACTACAGACAAGTGTTAAAACGTAGGGAAAACAAGAGTCCCTGCGTTTAAATTATTACTGCCTGATGTTACAGTATAATGGAAGGGGACTCCCCTTCCAAACACTAACACCTCTCCTCCTTTGCCCCCGGCTCACCATCTTTCATACGCCAACAAGAGTCCTCATTAAAGGCAAGATATACTTGTACATCTGTTATACAAAAATATAAGGGAGTAGTATGTATAAAATGTATTTTTAAGTTAATATTTTGTGGGGTGTGGAACGGTTTAATTCAATTTACATTATTTCTTATAGGAAAATTTGTTTCAGTTTACGAATTTTCAGTTTACGAACCATCTCTGGGGAATGGATTAAATTTGCAAATGAATTAAACTAATTAACAAATTAAAAATTTGCAAATGAATTAAATTCAAACAATTTAAATTTTACAAAGAAATTGAATGTGTAAACCAAAAAATTTGTAAAGAGGGTCATTCGTCAACTGAGGTTCCACTGTATGTATATGTATGTTAGGCTTATATTGAAGGTACCACTGTACATACATACATATATACATTTACACAGAGGGGTACACAAGTTCATATATACATGTACACTTTGTGTACACACAGAGGGGTACACATACTGTATATACAAAGGTACTCCAGTGGATAAGGGAGTACCTAAGCAATAGAAGACAGCAAGTCACTATGAGGGGCGAGGTCTCAGATTGGCGAGGTGTCACCAGTGGAGTCCCGCAGGGTTCAGTCCTTGGGCCTATACTGTTTCTGATATACGTAAATGATCTCCCAGAGGGTACAGAATCGTTCCTCTCATTGTTTGTTGATGATGCAAAAATTATGAGGAGGATTAAGACTGAGAAAGATAGTATGTGGCTACAAGATGACAAGACAAAGTGAACGAATGGTCCAACAAATGGCTACTAAACTTCAACCTGAGTAAATGTACGGTACTGAAACTAGGTGGTGGAAACAGGAGGCCAGACACAGGATACCGAATGGGAGATGAAGTCCTTCATGAAATGGACAGAGAAAGATCTAGGAGTGGATATCACACCACACCTGTCTCCTGAAGCCCACATAAGAATAACATCTGCAGCATATGTAAGGCTGGCTAGCATCAGAACTGCCTTCAGGAACCTGAGTAAGAAATCATTCAGAACCTTGTATACCACATATTTTGATTGTTGCCACCGGAGGCGGCTAGTTTATTGTGCACCCCTATACCCATCCTGTGAGCGGTAGTACAAAAAGCATTACAGAGGGCACAAAAGGTCTTTATCAGACCTCATCTTAGATTATTACATAAACAATATGTAAGACCGATCCTGGAGTATGCAGCCCCAGCATGGAGCCCGTTCCTTGTCAAGCACAAGATGAAGCTTGAAAAAGTTCAGAGGTATGCCACTAGGTTAGTCCCAAAACTAAGAGTCATGAGTTACGAGGAAAGACTGCATGAAATGCAACTCACGACACTAGAAGACAGAAGAGTAATAAGCGACATTATCACTACCTACTAAATTCTCAGAGGAATTGACAGGGTAGATAAGCATAAACTGTTTGACACGGGTGATATGCAAACAAGGGGACAAAGAACAAAGGTGGAGACTGAGTACCTAAATGAGCCACAAGGACGTTTGAAAGAACTTTTTCAGTGTCAGAGTAGTTAACAGATGGAGTGCATTAGGCAGTGATGGGGTGGAGGCTGACTCCATACACAGTTTCAAATGTAGATATGATAGACCCCAGCAGGCTCAGGAATCTGTACACCAGTTGACAGTTGAGAGGCGAGACCAGAGAGCCAGAGCTCAAACCCTGCAAGCACAACTAGGTGAGTACAGTATACTGTACCCCTAATACAGTTCTGAAATGCCTTATCCTTGCTCCCTTTTCTTCACACTCCCGCTCCATTTCCGTCTTCACAGATGGGTCTAAGTCTGCAGACGGTGTAGGCTACTCCGTAGAATTTCCTGACTACACATAAATGTGTTGCCTGCCTCCGGAGACTAGCATCTTCACGGCTGAACTTCAAACAATTTTGTATGCTCTTCGTCAACTGCTTTCTCGCTGTCAATCTTCCTTTGTTGTTGTAGTTGACTCTTGCAGTGCCCTCATGGTTCTAGTCCTTGAATCCTGTCCATCCTGTGGTCGTCAAAATTCAACATTGGCTGTTTCTTATCTCCTGCAGATTTAGCACAGTCGAGTTTTGCTGGGTTCCCAGTCATATTGGTGTTTCCTTACACGAGCATGCGGATGCTGCCGCTAAGGAGGCCATCCGCACTTGTCTCATTTCCAGCAAAGGTGTTACCTTATTAGGGTAGCGTGTCCCCATGGCATTTCTCCTACCACCATAACCGTCGGTGGAAAACGGCTCTGGCAAGGTTATGTATTGACCATACCTGTTTAACTCCCAGGCACTTATGGAGCGCTGTCCTGCTCCTTATTGTCCAAACTGCATTAATTTGTCCCCTCTTACGGTTGTGCATATCCTTGTTGAATGTCCAGACTTCCAGGACGTCCTCGATAGAATCCTTGGTGAATCGGATACCTTTGATATCGTTCGCCTTATGCACTTTTGTTCTCGTATTGGTATCATTCGTGATATTTAGCGCCTTTTGAATATCGCACACATTTGATGGTGCCACATAGCCTTCCCGGCTTGGTGCCTTCTTTTGAGAATTACTTACTATACTTAAAACCTTCATTTCAGCAAGAACTTAGACTAATTTGGTAGAGAAGCTCAAAATATCACAAGAACAATTTTGGTGAAACTTACCGAGAGGAACAGAGGATGGGATACTCTCATAAGAAGCCGCTGCAGGGTGGTGGTGAGCGGGTGCCGCCAGCGACGCCCCAGGCTTCTCACCGCTCCCCGCCGGCCCCGGGGAGCTGCAAGTGCTGCCTCGCGGACTTTTAAGCCGAGATATTTTTTTCTGCATGTCACGTCGAAGTCCACGCATACGTCCTACTAAGGACGCTGATCCTGTCCGCTGTAATAATAATAATAATAATAATAATAATAATAATAATAATAATAATAATAATAATAATAATAATAATAATAATAATAAACCTTATGAGACATTTGAAGGCACCAAAATAAATTCAGAATATAACAGATAATTTCCAGGTTTCTGAGCTAAAAAAATGAATGCCTGAAACATTATGACTGTCTTAGGAAATTTGTGCTACATAGCCTTCCCGGCTTGGTGCCTTCTTTGATAATTACTTACTCTGGTTTAGGAAGATCTTAAGAGTCACAACTTGACCTATACATGCATTTCATAAATTCAATCAGTCGACTTCACTAAAATTAGTTTCAGTATTGGCCGTAAAAACGGATAATTGCCCCAATCGAATGACCATTACAGCAAAATATCCCTTCTTGGGTAAATAAAATAGTTTGTGTAATTATTTCATCCAATGACCCTGATGTTAATTTAGGCATCTTAGACTGTGAACTCCCTTTAACATATCTGCACAGCGGCAGTCAAATTACTGAGCCATTGGGTCCAATGATGACATACGGCACAATACTAGAAACGTTACTGCCGCGATTTGTATTAAAGTTATAAAAATTGAAATACTGCACAGTTGAGTTTGGGTTGTGCAGCCCGGGACGTCGATGCTCGGTAAAAATGTAAACAAACTAATATTGGTGTTTGCTAGCGTGTATTATAGTGTCCATCTGTCCAGTTACCGTGTATTTAAGTGTCCATCTGTCCAACTACCGTGTATTTAAGTGTCCAGCTGCCGTGTATTGAAGTGTCCATCTGTCCAGTTACCGTGTATTTAAGTGTCCAGCTGCCGTGTATTGAAGTGTCCATCTGTCCAGTTACCGTGTATTTAAGTGTCCAGCTGCCGCGTATTCAAGTGTCCATCTGTCCAGCTACCGTGTATTTAAGTGTCCAGCTGCCGCGTATTCAAGTGTCCATCTGTCCAGTTACCGTGTATTTAAGTGTCCAGCTGCCGTGTATTGAAGTGTCCATCTGTCCAGCTACCGTGTATTTAAGTGTCCAGCTGCCGTGTATTGAAGTGTCCATCTGTCCAGTTACCGTGTATTTAAGTGTCCAGCTGCCGCGTATTCAAGTGTCCATCTGTCCAGTTACCGTGTATTTAAGTGTCCAGCTGCCGTGTATTGAAGTGTCCATCTGTCCAGTTACCGTGTATTTAAGTGTCCAGCTGCCGCGTATTCAAGTGTCCATCTGTCCAGCTACCGTGTATTTAAGTGTCCAGCTGCCGTGTATTGAAGTGTCCATCTGTCCAGCTACCGTGTATTTAAGTGTCCAGCTGCCGTGTATTGAAGTGTCCATCTGTCCAGTTACCGTGTATTTAAGTGTCCAGCTGCCGCGTATTCAAGTGTCCATCTGTCCAGTTACCGTGTATTTAAGTGTCCAGCTGCCGTGCATTGAAGTGTCCATCTGTCCAGCTACCGTGTATTTAAGTGTCCAGCTGCCGTGTATTGAAGTGTCCATCTGTCCAGTTACCGTGTATTTAAGTGTCCAGCTGCCGCGTATTGAAGTGTCCATCTGTCCAGTTACCGTGTATTTAAGTGTCCAGCTGCCGCGTATTCAAGTGTCCATCTGTCCAGTTACCGTGTATTTAAGTGTCCAGCTGCCGCGTATTCAAGTGTCCATCTGTCCAGTTACCGTGTATTTAAGTGTCCAGCTGCCGTGTATTGAAGTGTCCATCTGTCCAGCTACCGTGTATTTAAGTGTCCAGCTACCGTGTATTTAAGTGTCCAGCTACCGTGTATTTAAGTGTCCAGCTACCGTGTATTTAAGTGTCCATCTGTCCAGCTACCGTGTATTTAAGTGTCCAGCTACCGTGTATTTAAGTGTCCAGCTACCGTGTATTTAAGTGTCCAGCTACCGATTTGAATACCTTGCCGCCCTCTGTGGTCTTGAAATATTGACACCACTTAAAGGAGATTATAGTTCTTCAATTCTGTAACAATTGTTAATGAATAAATCACGAAATGTATCGATATATTGTTTTCTTATATATCCTCATAGTTCTAGTGTTAGCTATCAAGAGATCTTGTTAAATGACGAGGGTTTTTATGATGAAAACTTAATATGATAAGATTCAATATAAATAAGAAAAAGTTGCATTAAACGCTATACTTGAAGCCTAGCAATGTTCAAGTTCAGCATACACAGGGGATCAATGAGAGGATTTTAGGTATTTGGGGTAAAACGTTAATTATGTGAAGTTAATTATATTGAGACTGATAGAGCCACTTAAGCGTAAATATAGAGGGGGGGGGGAAGAGTGTATTATTATTTTTTTTTTTTTTTGAGATATATAGAAGAGTTGTTACATGGTTGTAGAGCCACTAGTACGCGTAGCGTTTCGGGCAGGTCCCTGGAATACGATCCCCGCCGCGAAGAATCCTTGTTACAACCAAGTACACATTTTACTGTTGCGTTAAACAGAGGCTACAGTTAAGGATTTGCGCCCAGTAAATCCTCCCCGGCCAGGATACGAACCCATGACAAAGCGCTCGCGGAACGCCAGGCGAGTGTCTTACCACTACACCACGGAGACTGTACATTAAGTCTTAGTGTGGTGCAGAAAGACGGCAATAATTAGTTTGTGGGAGGCAAGCAATGACAAACGAGTCATTGGTGAAGGAGTGTGATAGTGTTATCTTGAGATGATTTCAGGGCTTTAATGTCCCCCGGCCCGGTCCTCGACCAGGCCTCCACCCCCAGGAAGCAGCCCGTGACAGCTGACTAACACCCAGGTGCCTATTTTACTGCTAGGTAACAGGAGCATAGGGTGAAAGAAACCTCTGCCCATTGTTTCTCGCCGGTGCCCGGGATCGAACCCGGGCCCACAGGATCACAAGTACAGCGTGCTGTCCGCTCGGCCGACCGGCTCGCTTAAATAAATAAGTGTAAATATGTTTCTTCGACCTGTCCTCTTAAAAATAACGTCGCTTTTGCCCGTATGGCCGAAAGTGGACATAATTTGAAAATGAACAAAAAATGAAAATAAATTTGAGATTTTTTTTTTTCAACAACAGTAAGTTAAGGGTCCTCTGATAGGTTAGGAGGGCAGGAAATTCTCATAAAGTTTCAAAACGTTATGAAAAACGTTAATGGAAACTTTCCTCTCTTAACCTTTCCGAGTAAGCCGGACTCAAACAGAAAACGGGGCAGTACGTCACTTTTGTGAGTCGATTTCATTTCAAATTACGTCCACTTTTAGCCATAGCGTGCGTACGAGCCAAAACGACGTAATTTTTAAGAGGACGGGTTAAGAGGACGGGTTAAGAGGACGAGTTAAGAGGACGGGTTGAGAGCACATACCTCGCCCTCGCCCTCCTGCTCCTCGTAGTCTGACGAGTGTGGTGGTGACTGGCCATCCTCGCTCCCACCACTCACACTGCTGCGACTCTGGAAATATAACAAACATGAACTCATAAAATTGTGCAAGATACATAGATACAGCATGTGTGAAGTGTATCAGAACACATCTCTCTCGTATCACAGAATTGTTACACGTGTACAGAAAGAACTTTATCTAGTACAGGCTTCTCAGCTGTCACCATATATTCGTATACTTTTACACGGGGTAATTCGCACACAATGAAAGGTGACGAGGCTTGTGTTTACATGTGTTCTGTCATGTCATCTACAGTACAACTGTCATCTACGGTACAAGTGTCACCTACGGTACAAGTGTCATCTATGGTATCTACGGTACAAATCTACGGTAGTCTGGCAGTTAAAACTTAGCCTACGACATCGTAAACACTCACTTTTCTACCTATAATATGTTTTCTACATCCCTAACTATTCACAAGTCATTGAATGGGTAGTGGTTACTGCACGAGGGATTACTCTACACTCTGAAGGTACACCTCCACGTGAGGGATTACTCTCCACTCTGAAGGTACACCTCCACACGAGGGATTACTCTACACTCTGAAGGTACACCTCCACGTGAGGGATTACTCTCCACTCTGAAGGTACACCTCCACGTGAGGGATTACTCTCCACTCTGAAGGTACACCTCCACGTGAGGGATTACTCTCCACTCTGAAGGTACACCTCCACGTGAGGGATTACTCTCCACTCTGAAGGTACACCTCCACACGAGGGATTACTCTCCACTCTGAAGGTACACCTCCACGTGAGGGATTACTCTCCACTCTGAAGGTACACCTCCACGTGAGGGATTACTCTCCACTCTGAAGGTACACCTCCACGTGAGGGATTACTCTCCACTCTGAAGGTACACCTCCACACGAGGGATTACTCTCTACTCTGAAGGTACACCTCCACGTGAGGGATTACTCTCCACTCTGAAGGTACACCTCCACACGAGGGATTACTCTACACTCTGAAGGTACACCTCCACACGAGGGATTACTCTACACTCTGAAGGTACACCTCCACACGAGGGATTACTCTACACTCTGAAGGTACACCTCCACACGAGGGATTACTCTACACTCTGAAGGTACACCTCCACACGAGGGATTACTCTACACTCTGAAGGTACACCTCCACACGAGGGATTACTCTCCACTCTGAAGGTACACCTCCACACGAGGGATTACTCTCCACTCTGAAGGTACACCTCCACACGAGGGATTACTCTCCACTCTGAAGGTACACCTCCACACGAGGGATTACTCTACACTCTGAAGGTACACCTCCACACGAGGGATTACTCTACACTCTGAAGGTACACCTCCACACGAGGGATTACTCTACACTCTGAAGGTACACCTCCACACGAGGGATTACTCTACACTCTGAAGGTACACCTCCACACGAGGGATTACTCTACACTCTGAAGGTACACCTCCACACGAGGGATTACTCTCCACTCTGAAGGTACACCTCCACACGAGGGATTACTCTACACTCTGAAGGTACACCTCCACACGAGGGATTACTCTACACTCTGAAGGTACACCTCCACACGAGGGATTACTCTCCACTCTGAAGGTACACCTCCACACGAGGGATTACTCTACACTCTGAAGGTACACCTCCACACGAGGGATTACTCTACACTCTGAAGGTACACCTCCACACGAGGGATTACTCTACACTCTGAAGGTACACCTCCACACGAGGGATTACTCTCCACTCTGAAGGTACACCTCCACACGAGGGATTACTCTACACTCTGAAGGTACACCTCCACACGAGGGATTACTCTACACTCTGAAGGTACACCTCCACACGAGGGATTACTCTCCACTCTGAAGGTACACCTCCACACGAGGGATTACTCTCCACTCTGAAGGTACACCTCCACACGAGGGATTACTCTACACTCTGAAGGTACACCTCCACACGAGGGATTACTCTACACTCTGAAGGTACACCTCCACACGAGGGATTACTCTACACTCTGAAGGTACACCTCCACACGAGGGATTACTCTCCACTCTGAAGGTACACCTCCACACGAGGGATTACTCTCCACTCTGAAGGTACACCTCCACACGAGGGATTACTCTACACTCTGAAGGTACACCTCCACACGAGGGATTACTCTACACTCTGAAGGTACACCTCCACACGAGGGATTACTCTACACTCTGAAGGTACACCTCCACACGAGGGATTACTCTACACTCTGAAGGTACACCTCCACACGAGGGATTACTCTACACTCTGAAGGTACACCTCCACACGAGGGATTACTCTACACTCTGAAGGTACACCTCCAGACTAATACACCGTCATAATACAAAATTAACTAAATAATAATAATTAAATATTCATTCGGATTAAATACAAGAATTCAAACAATATATGTGAAGGCCCCGTGTGGAGGATAATGGGGAAGCTCTCTCACCAGAGTCACACAAGGGAGGAGAGTCACCCCTGCTAGTGATATTACCACCTTGCCTTGCCTTGCTTTGCCTTCCCTTCCCTTCCCTTGCCTTGCCTTGCCTTGCCTTGCCTTCCCTTGCCTTCCCTTGCCTTCCCTTGCCTTGATACCAGGGGTCAAGGTCCCCGCGGCCCGCTCTCTGACCTGATCGTAGATGTCTTCAACAATCTTGGAATTATTTGTATCCAAGTTGGCAGTTTAAGATACAAGTGCTTAGAGGAGTACTTAGCAGTCTCCGTGGTGTAGTGGTAAGACACTCGCCTGGCGTTCCGCGAGCGCTATGTCATGGGTTCGTATCCTGGCCGGGGAGGATTTACTGGGCGCAAATCCTTAACTGTAGCCTCTGTTTAACGCAACAGTAAAATGTGTACTTGGTTGTAACAACGATTCTTCGCGGCGGGGATCGTATTCCAGGGACTTGCCCGAAACGCTACGCGTACTAGTGGCTCTACAAGAATGTAACAACTCTTGTCCCCTATTGTTATGTGAGCGATGGCCACGAATGTGCCAACATACTAACTAGACACGGGGAGGTCTGCCCTGCTGTCTTCAGGGCACGGGGAAGTCTGCCCTGCTGTCTTCAGGGCACGGGGAAGTCTGCCCTGCTGTCTTCAGGGCACGGGGAAGTCTGCCCTGCTGTCTTCAGGGCACGGGGAGGTCTGCCCTGCTGTCTTCAGGGCACGGGGAAGTCTGTCCTGCTGTCTTCAGGGCACGGGGAAGTCTGCCCTGCTGTCTTCAGGGCACGGGGAAGTCTGCCCTGCTGTCTTCATGACACAGGAAAGTCTGCCCTACTGTGTTCATGACACAGGAAGTCTGCCCTGCTGTCTTCAGGGCACGGGGAAGTCTGCCCTGCTGTCTTCAGGGCACAGGGAAGTCTGTCCTGCTGTCTTCAGGGCACAGGGAAGTCTGCCCTGCTGTCTTCAGGGCACGGGGAAGTCTGCCCTGCTGCCTTCAGGGCACAGGGAAGTCTGTCCTGCTGTCTTCAGGGCACAGGGAAGTCTGCCCTGCTGTCTTCAGGGCACGGAGAAGTCTGCCCTGCTGTCTTCAGGGCACGGGGAAGTCTGCCCTGCTGTCTTCAGGGCACGGGGAAGTCTGCCCTGCTGTCTTCAGGGCACGGGGAAGTCTGCCCTGCTGTCTTCAGGGCACGGAGAAGTCTGCCCTGCTGTCTTCAGGGCACGGGGAAGTCTGCCCTGCTGTCTTCAGGGCACGGGGAAGTCTGCCCTGCTGTCTTCAGGGCACGGAGAAGTCGGCCCTGCTGTCTTCAGGGCACGGAGAAGTCTGCCCTGCTGTCTTCAGGGCACGGGGAAGTCTGCCCTGCTGTCTTCAGGGCACGGAGAAGTCTGCCCTGCTGTCTTCAAGACACGGGGAAGTCTGTCCTGCTGTCTTCAGGACACGGGGAAGTCTGTCCTGCTGTCTTCAAGACACGGGAAGTCTGCCCTGCTGTCTTCAAGACACAGGAAAGTCTGCCCTACTGTCTTCAGGGCACGGGGAAGTCTGCCCTGCTGTCTTCAAGACACAGGAAGTCTGCCCTACTGTCTTCATGACACAGGGAAGTCTGCCCTGCTGTCTTCATGACACAGGGAAGTCTGCCCTGCTGTCTTCAAGACACAGGAAAGTCTGCCCTACTGTCTTCAAGACACAGGAAAGTCTGCCCTGCTGTCTTCAAGACACGGGGAAGTCTGCCCTACTGTCTTCAAGACACGGGGAAGTCTGCCCTGCTGTCTTCAAGACACAGGAAAGTCTGCCCTGCTGTCTTCATGACACAGGGAAGTCTGCCCTGCTGTCTTCAAGACACAGGAAAGTCTGCCCTGCTGTCTTCAAGACACGGGGAAGTCTGTCCTGCTGTCTTCATGACACAGGGAAGTCTGCCCTGCTGTCTTCATGACACAGGGAAGTCTGCCCTGCTGTCTTCAAGACACAGGAAAGTCTGCCCTGCTGTCTTCAAGACACGGGGAAGTCTGTCCTGCTGTCTTCAAGACACGGGAAGTCTGCCCTGCTGTCTTCATGACACAGGGAAGTCTGCCCTGCTGTCTTCATGACACAGGAAAGTCTGCCCTGCTGTCTTCAAGACACGGGGAAGTCTGTCCTACTGTCTTCAAGACACGGGGAAGTCTGCCCTGCTGTCTTCAAGACACGGGGAAGTCTGTCCTACTGTCTTCAAGACACAGGGAAGTCTGCCCTGCTGTCTTCATGACACAGGGAAGTCTGCCCTGCTGTCTTCATGACACAGGGAAGTCTGCCCTACTGTCTTCAAGACACGGGAAAGTCTGCCCTACTGTCTTCAGGGCACGGGGAAGTCTGCCCTGCTGTCTTCAAGACACGGGGAAGTCTGCCCTACTGTCTTCAAGACACGGGGAAGTCTGCCCTGCTGTCTTCAAGACACGGGGAAGTCTGCCCTGCTGTCTTCAAGACACAGGAAAGTCTGCCCTACTGTCTTCAAGACACAGGAAAGTCTGCCCTACTGTCTTCAAGACACGGGGAAGTCTGCCCTGCTGTCTTCAAGACACGGGGAAGTCTGCCCTGCTGTCTTCAAGACACA